TTACCCCATTGTTTTTTCTGAAAATCTCTGAAAAATCGCCTCAATCCGAGCTCCAAATCGTTAAAAATGGAAAATTGTACGTCCCATTTTCAGAACTTAAACTCCATGCCCAGTGATTTCTTCTATGCGATCGCGGACCAACTCACGCGATCGCGTATCACAATTTTTTTCCCTAGAAAATAACCCTACGCAATCGCGGAAATTCCCACGCGATCACGTAGCACAGTCTCCGCAAGCCTACAAGTTCGCGAGCCTCCTCACGAGATCACGAAGCATTAAGCGCGTGGTCATTTTCTGCTTTGTTTCCTCTTCGCGAATGGGGCCTTAGCCACGCGTTCACATTGCACAACTGAATTCAACCTACGCGATCGCGGACTTGCCCACGCGATCACATAGAACAAATTCCGAGTTGCCCAATTAAGCATACGCGATCGCAACCCAGTTCACGCGATCGTGTAGAAGGTTAAAAATACCATAAATTAGGAGCTATCAGCAATGCTCCAAAAGCCAAAAATGATCCGTTAGCAGTCCGAAACTCACCTGAGCCCCTCGGGACCTCAACCAATTATACCAACAAGTCCTAAAATATCATACGAACTTATTCGGAACCTCAAATCACATAAAACAACGTTAAAACCATGAATCATCCTCCAATTTAAGCTTAATGAAACTTAAAATTTCCAACTTCTACATTCGGTACCGAAACCTATCAAATCATGTCCGATTGACCTCAAATGTTGCACACAAGTCATAAATGACATAACGGAGCTATGTAAGTTTTCGGAACTGGATTCCGACCCCGATATCATATAGTCAACTCCTTGGTCAAACTTCTAAACTTAAATTCTTGTTTTAGCCATTTCGAGCCTAATTTAACTACGGGCTTCCAAATAAAATTTCGAACACGCTCCTAAGTCCAAAATTACCATACGGAGCTATTAGAATCCTCAAATCCCGATTCCGAGGTCGTGTTTCTCAAAATGTTGACCGAAGTCAAACTTAGCACTTTAAGGCCAACTCAAGGAACTAAGTATTCCGATTTCAACCCAAACACTTTCAAATCCGGAATCAACCATCCCCGCAAGTCATAAATCATTAAAAACACATACAAGGAGTTTTATTTTAGGGAATGGGGTTCTAAAAATAAAAATGACCGGTTGAGTCATTACAGCCTGGTTGTCACAATAGATTGAAACTGGGCTAGAAATGGACAAACCAAGATCATGCAGTAGTCTGAGCAACCAGGAAACCTCAGCTGAAACTTTGCGAAGTGCTATGTATTCAGCTTCAGCTGAGGACACGGAGATAGTGGGTTGCTTCTTGCTTTTCCAAGAAATTGGGTTGCCACCAAGAGTAATATAATAGCCAATGACAGATTTGCGAGAAATGGCACATGCAGCCGAATTAGAGTCAGAATATACTGTGAGAGACAAATCAGATGAACTGAAGAGGATCACCCCTTGAGCTGGGTCATTAAGTAAATACCTGAGAACATGCAAAGCTGCCAACATGTGGGGTATTTGTGGCTTTTGAAGAAACTGACTTAAATGTTGAACTGAGAAGGAGATATCAGTCCTAGTATGTTGCAAGAAATTATGCTTCCCAATCAATCTCCTATACAAGCTAGGATCAGAAACATGCTCACCCATGTCTAACACCAGCTTCACAGAAGGATCCAAAGGGGTCATGACAGGAGAGAAATATTGAAAATTAAATTTAAACAAGAGATCAGAAGTGTACTTGTATTGGCTCATCACATAACCTTGAGGAAGAAGAGAAATTTCCAATCCCAGAAAGTAGTGAACTAAGCCCAGGTCTTTGATTTTGAATTGAGCATCCAAGAAGGACTTTAAAGAGTTCATCTCAACAATATCATTACCAGCTAGCAATATGTCATCAACATAGACAGCCAATACAATGAGAGAATCAGAGGACACCTTGGTGAATAAAGAATAATCATTCATGCTGGAAATGTAGCCTCTGGATTGCAAGGCTTCAAACAGTTTTGAGAACCACTGTCTAGAAGCTTGCCTAAGGCCATAGAGGGACTTCTTGAGTCTGCAAACCAGGGGAGGAGAAGAAGAGGGAGCAGACACATCAAGACCAGGTGAGACCTTTGTATAAACCTCTTCATGGAGATCCCCATGAAGGAAGGCATTCTTCACATCAAGTTAAAAAACAGTCCAGCCCCACTTAACAGCCAAAGTGAGTAAGCACTTGATTATGGTCAATTTGACAACAGGGAAAAAAGTTTCAGTAAAATCTATGCCCTCCTTTTGAGTGTCACCCTTAATGACCAACCGGGCCTTATATCTCTCAATAGAACCAACAACCTTTTTTTTTGATTTTGTAAACCCACTTACAAGGAATAACTTTCTTGTGAGGAGGTAAATGGATAATATCTCAAGTATGGTTTGCCTCAAGGGCTTGGAATTCCTTTAGCATGGCCTCTTGCCAAGCAGGATGTGAGGCAGCCTGCTGGTAGAACTGGGGCTCATACATGTGGGTGTCAACAGAAGATACTTTGGAAGAGGTAGGAAGAGAATTAGTGGAAGAGACAGAAGAACATACATAGTCTTTGAGATAGGAAGGTTGTTGGACTGTTCTAGTGGATTTCCTCAAAGGTGGAGGAGAAGGGATGAGAAGAGGAGAGGCATAAAGAGGGGAAAGAGAAAGAGTTGATGGAATATGAGCGTCTTGGGATGTGGAAACAACAAGAGTAGGATAAGATGAAGGGAACGAGGTTGTAGGATATACAAAATCTGATATAGAAGAAGAGGGAAAGGTTGAAGGATGATCAGATTTATAGGGAAATATATGTTCATGAAAAACTACATCCCTAGAAAATAAAATGGAATGAGTAGTGAGATTAAGAAGTTTGTAACCCTTTTTGCCAAAGGGGTACCCCAAGAATATAGAAGGAATAGCTCTTGCCTGGAATTTATCTCTGCTAAACTTAGGTGAAGTAGCAAAACATAAATATTCAAAGGATTTCAGGTGATCATAAAGTGGAGGGAAGCCATGAAGTTTCTCATAAGGGGAAAGACTCTTCAAAACAACAGAAGGAAGTCTATTGATGAGGTATGTGGAAGTTAGAACACAGTCAACCCAATATTTAAGGGGAAGGTTAGACTGAAAAAGAAGAGCCCTGGATACTTCCAATAAGTGTTTGTGTTTCTTTTAAACCACCCCATTTTGCTGAGGTGTGTGGGGGATAGTTGTCTGATGGAGAATGCCTTGGCTTGAGAAGAACTTGATGGCTTCAGAACTGCCACCAAGTTCAAAGGCATTGTCAGATCTAAAAGTTTGAACAGATGATTTAAAATGAACTTTGACCATGACAGTAAAAGCTTTAAGAAAAGAGAGGGCATTGCTCTTGCAAGAAAGAATGTGAGTCCATGTGGCTCTAGTATAATCATCAACCAAAGTTAGAAAATATCTGAATCCACTATAAGTTCTAGTGTTATATGGACCCCAAATGTTAATATGTACTAATTGAAAAGGGGCAGAAAAGTGTATAACACTTCCAGGAAAATATAATCTCTGTTGTCTTGCTAGTGGACAAAATGACACACAAAACATTGCTTGGAAGATACTTTATGAGACAAGAAAGAAATAATTTTCATTCTATGATAAGGCATGTGTCCTAATCTTTGATGCCAAAACAAGTCCAATTTATTAAGGCAATGTGACTGATTACAAGCATGAGTACCATTAACATGTGTGACAACATGGCTGGACTTATCAGATACAAGTGAAACAGAATTAGGTATACTACTAGAAGAAGAAACATTCATAGAACCAGATGGAACAGGAAAGAGGTCAGCATCTGGAGGGAGATAGTACAGTTTGCCTGCATATTTACCAATTTTCAGTGGCCTCTTCAGAGAAGGGCCCTGTAAAAAACAAATTATTTTTGTAAAAAGTGCTGAACAATCTAGCTGAAAGATAAGCTGATGAACTGATATTAAATTGAAGTGAAAGGATGGCACAAGAAGAACTTGAAGTAAAATTATATCATGTCTAAGATACAAAGATCTAGTTGATATAACTTTAGCTTTATATCCATTAGGTAGGGTGACAAGAAAGGGCTTGATTAATGGTTGGACATTAAAAAGAAGATATTTGTGTGGAGTCATGTGATTAGTAGCCCCTGTATCTAAGATCCAAGGAGTGACACCTAATTGAGAGGATGCATACACATGAGAAGCCTAAGAATCTACAGCATACTTACTGAACAAACCTGCAAAGTGTGACAAAGCAGATTGATCCACAGTAGAGGCATCATAGGTGGAAGTATTGGATATCTGAGATTGTTGGAACAAGGTCAACAGGTGTTGATACTGCTCCTTGGTGAACCCATGGGCTGAAGAATCAGCATGCTAAGAAGTGGAAGTGACAGCAGTAGCGGGTGGAGTTTCAGTCTGGACACAAGAAGCATACTTCTTATTCTTGGTGAATTTAAAATCAGTAGGGAACCCATAAAGTCTATAACACTTGTCTACAGTGTGGCCAGGCTTCTTGCAGTACTTGCAAGAAACATTTGGAGTAGTTTTCCTGGCCTCAAAATTCACCTTTTGACTGAAGTTCCTATTTGTGGTAGGAGTACCAGGGGACACCAAGAAAGAGGTGGCATCACCAGAGAAGTTAAGAGTAGCAGAGTGAGCTTCTCTTTGACTCTCATCTTGCTGTAGAAGACTATAAGCTTTGCTGATTGGTGGAAGAGGATTCATTAACATAATGGCACTCTTAACAGTTGTGTAAGACTCATTGAGACTATTGAGAAATTGAAACAACTGTTGATCCTCTATGAATTTCGATAATGCACCACATGAACAAGTAGGACCTACATATGATGAATTTAGCTCATCCCACAAACTCCTCATTTTGGTGAAGTAAGAAGCTATATTAGAGGAGCCTTGAGTAGTAGAGCTGATCTTCCTTTGTATTTGGATGTATTTAGACTCGTTTGACTGACCAAACCTTTTATTTATATCTTTCTAGACTTCCTTAGCAGTTTTAAAATACATCACACTAACAACTATTTCTCTAGATACTGAATTAGTTATCGAGGCTTTAACCATATCATTGCACCTTTCCCAACATGGATAATAAGGAGAGTCAGGAGTGGGTTGGTTGACTCTGCCATCTAATAGACTAAGCTTGTTCTTTGCGGAGAGGGAATTGAGCATACTGTTACGCCATAACATAAACCCACAACCACTGAATGGTACAGATACCAGTTGACTTCCAGGATTATTCGAGGGATGAATATAGAAGGGATGTGAGGGATCCAAGGAAAATGAAGCAAAACCGTTGGAAGGTGAAGGAGAGTTAACATCATCTATTACAGTACCCATTTTCAGCAGTGACTAAAGCTAACACTAAGAAACTACAATAGTATGTTAAAATAATCAGAGACAAATCCAAATCAAGTACATGCAATGAACATCAACAACAAAGGAATACCAAAGCTTGTGATTAGGAGTGACCACGATACCGTCCTTCTTCTGAAAACCCGAAGAAGTGAGGTCTTTTTCAGCCATGGACCCTAGGTAGAGAAAAACTACTGAGTAAGTTGAAGATTATTGACGATTCAAGCAATACAAGTCGAATATACGCGGAGATTGAAGGAAGCCCCAAATTTCACGAATGTATTCTGAACGTCGCCGATCAGATTCAATTCCTGACGATTTCAAACAAGGTTACCATCGGAAGAAAGCTTGTGACGAGAGGAATCTATATTCCTGCTCTGATACCATGTTAGGTTAGAAGCTTGTTAGCTATGGAGGAAACGACGGAAGAAAACCCTAGAAGGGTTGAGAGAAGAAGAGAGAGACGAGTGAGTCGGTCAAAGTCTAATTGACCAAAACTGATTTTCTTATTTAGTAGAAATTATTTATATTTACAGGTATCAAAAAGGAAAAAATAATTGTGAAAAAATATTTACATGTCTAAACTATAAGAGTTATAAAAGGGTTTCTTCTTTCCCTTATTCGATTGGCCTGAGATGTATCTGGGCTAACAAGTGTTTACAAAGGGGTTGTACTAGCCAACTTGATGAATTGGCCACCAAGACTTTTGCTGCCTTGATTATTTCGCACCCTCACAATGCATGTGTAAGTCTCAATTTGTTGTGCCATTTTTGTTGATGTGAGTTTCAGAAATTATTTTTATTGTGCTACTTTTTTAGATGCTTCAGTTTAGGTTCTGGGTTAATTTTCAAGGATTGCGAAGTTGAGTATTTGATCAATTTGCTACGTGATATAAATGAATTTTTCTTTTCTATTTCTTGAAGCTATACTACATCAGTTTCAGTTCGTTCCTTTTTGGCTTTAGGTATAAAGCTTTCTTGAAATGTGTGGTTTTGTATGGACAGTGTTTGAATATCGATCTAGATTAAAATTTACGCCAATTAAGTTTTAAGCCTCTAAGAAGAGAATAAAGATATAAGACAAACATGGTAAAAGAAATGGAGTGGTGAGGAAAAATATTCATTTACCTTCAAGAATCAAGATAGGTTAAGCTTATTTTGGAAATCCTAGGTTTTGGATTTTGTGGAGAAACTCTCTCAAACTTGTGTCAAGTTTCTTACTCTATCTATATGTGAATTAGTATATCTTTTGTATGGTGAATTTTAGTCATTTAAAATCAGAAATTTAATCCCGTTAATTGTGCAGCAGTTACTATTTTGGGCATAACGTTTTCTCTAAAAATCGGATTGGGGTGATTCAAAAGGCTATATAAAGATAAGAGATATATCTACAATTGTTATAAAGACTAAGTTGTCCAGTTCTGTGATTTACTGCCTCAAAATATCTGCTGTAATACAGTGCAGAGCTACTGCCCAGATTTTCTCCTTAAGAATTGTGAATTGTGGAGACCATTTAGACCCCAATTTTGTTTATATAGTGATGAGTCTTGCTCAATTACTCTGGGAGGAAAAATAAAATTTAAGAGGAAATATAGTGATCCGTGTGTGCTGAAATATTATGGTGAAGTTTTGCTAAGCACTTTAAATGTTGGTACTGCTATACGAATGCTAGGTAAATATGTGCCATTGTGTTCGAAGCTGAATGTTCTTTTTTTTTATATGCAAAATTGATATTGGAAGTGACTGTATAAAGACAATTAATCATATAAAATCACTTTTTTTTTTTTGTGGTAAAGATGAAACCATGTTCGTTAAGCTAAAAGGTGTGTATAAGAAATTTCTCCATTGTCCTTTTACTCTTTTGATGAAAGTGTCCTATTGTTTTCTGTTATCTTACTCTGTCTCTAAAGTTACCTTACATTCGTAACAGATACTTCAAATGGCCAGGCTCAGGCTCAGTACATTTAAAATTTGACTATCAGAATCTAAAGGTAATATCATGTAAGTTTATTTTTCTTCATTTGGGTATCAAATTCACTTTCTTTTAGTTTTTTGCAAAAAACTTTCTATATTGGGTTGATGTGAAGATTTGTGTATGACTAGTAATTTTTGATTTTGAGGATAAGTAGAGTCACTTGTCGATGAGTATCAGTTCAAGATCTCCTTATATATCACTAAACTAAAGAATGCCTTTCTTGTGAAAAGTATTACTATAATAAGACGAGACACAAAAGGTAACTATATTTTTGTGCTATAACACTAAAAGGCAACATTGTTTTCGGTTGCATGGTACCCCATTTATAGGATACCCGATGGCAATTTGCGTGCTGCTTTCTT